GCAGTGGCACAATCACTAAGGGCGAGATGAATAAAAGGAGAATTATAATAAAATATTAAACAAATAATTACAAAATAAGTTTTTTTTTTTCATTGTAACAAATAGCCAATCAATTCAGGACAGACGGAGACCCTTGCCTGCACCCTCAGTCTCTCCTCCTTGGATTCCATTTTTCTCACCCATTCAAGTCCGCAATGAGATGGTCACATAAATTTTCCACGTGGGTCCCATCAAATTAATGCCTCCCTCACTTTATTTTACATTTATATTAATCGGAGATTAAGAACCGAGAAATATTTTTAAAAAATAATTTTAAAATATATAAAATAAATACGTGGGAGAAATTTTGTTCAGACTGACTTAAAAAGCACATTTTCACGTGTTTTGTGAATTTCACAAGCTCCCTTTAGCAGGATAAAAAGCATTAAATGAACAAAATTCTGCAGTATTGAATATGGCTCAACCTCAGGGCCCAGATATCATAATTGGAGGATTATGAATTTAGCATTTAGGGTTTATGTGACAAAACAATATGTGGGGAGAATTAGCAAATCAATAATTTTGAATTTAATATAATAGTACCAATGAATTATATCAATTACGTGTGTCTCCATACATAACAAAGATAGGAGCAAGAGGGTATAGTGTGTGTCGTTGCAGATTGAATTAGCCTTAAAGTTAATACTTAAGCAAAATGCTTGTCTGTTTTAAATAACAGACGAGAACAGGGGACTTTTCTTGTCTGTTTTAAAAAAAAACAGACGAGAAAAATCTCCTATTCTCGTCTGTTTTTTTTTTTATAAATAGAAGTGAAAAATTATTTTTTCTTAAAAATTACAAAATTTTCACGGTATTGATTTTTGGGAAAATTCCAGAAAAGGTCCCTCAAATATATGAAATCCCAGATTGGGTCCTGAAATTTTCAAAATGACAGAAAGGGTCAGTGACCCAATCTGTCATTTGGCAAATCAAGAGGAATTGACAATTTTGTCCTCATTTGTATTCATTCACTACAATAATTTAAGAAATCACTATAAGGGTTTAAGCATTACCTAGATTCATATAGCGAACAACTACTCTTTTTTTCATATTCAGGTGTCTTGTTATTAACTACAACTAATTTTGTAATCACTAGAACAATGTAAGTATTACCTAGATTCGTGTAGAGAATAACTACTCACTTTTTCATAGTCAGGCACCTTATTATTAACTACAACTAATCTTGTAATTATTAAGTACAACTAATCTTAATCACTAGAACATTGTAAGCGTTACCTAGATTTGTGTAGAGAATAACTACTTATTCATTCAGGGGCAAAATTTGTCAATGGTCTAATTTCACAAATGACAGATTGGGTCACTGACCCTTTCTGTCTTTTGAAAATTCTAGGACCCAATCTGAAATTTCTATATTCGAGGGACCTTTTCTGGAATTTTCCCTTGATTTTTTATGTCTGTTTTTTAGAAACAGACATAAATTAGAGAAGTAAAAACTTTTTTTTATAGTAGTGAAGGCAACAAAGACTGTGCTCACATCGGCTGATGTAAAAGACAAGAATTCCTTCCAAGAGCCTATGAAGGTACATTACATACATCCATACACACACATGTTATTAATTTGTTGCTATATTAAAATTGGTCTGTAAAAGTGGAGTTTATTTGAAAATTATTTTATCCAAACATTTTTATGCGTGCAGATTGCTCTGGTGCAAAGTCTTATAGAGATTGGAAAGGAGATGACTTTCAAGCTTGCTCCAAATTCAATCACAGATTTTGATTTCCCAAAGTGACGGATCACTTGAGTTTGAAGATAGGGACACGTATGCAATAAAAATTTCATATCCCTGTGGTTTTAAAAAAATGGAAAAAGATCACCCGTATTATAATGGTTGAATCAATATGATAAACATCCCTTGAATTGATTTCAGACTTTTCCTTAGCAAGGCCCTCGACCCATTTGCAAATAAATATAGAGTATTTTTTAAGAAAAATCAATTATTAAATAATTAATCCTTATATCAATCTTATAGTTTAAAACGTTTAAACTTCTACTATAGTATAAAAAAGACTGTACAATTGGTCTTTACAAGATCAAAACAAATGTGTTTCGAGTTTTCTTTCTTTGATACCGCATAATAGCATTTGAAAATATATGGACCACACTGTGCATACATGTATAGATGTTGACGAATATGTCAACACACATTTGGAACATTTGAAGGAATGAAATATTTTGTTAATGTCGTAGGGATTAACATTAATGTAACATTATGTGCATACATATATAGATGTTGACGTATATGTCAACGCTCATTTGGATCATTTGAAGGAATGGAATATTTTATTAATGTGTAGGGATTAACATTAATGTAACATTTTAGGCTATAAGGATAAATTTTAAAAAAAAACTTAGATTTATAGGTACTTGTTTAAAATTTGGTATGACTAGAACCAGCTGATTGATCTTTTCTACCTTTTTATTAAAGAATAAAATTTAGTGATAATGTCCTGGAATGGTATGGGACAGTAATTTTATTATTTCAAGAAAAATGAATATAAACAAGTGCGCAGAAGAGAGAAAGGTAGGGGGAATTGTCTCATAGTCGGAACAAAAACGCTGAAGATGTTCCCAAGGAGGCTGAACTATAGACCAAATGGAGGGATTCCTCAATTTTAACTCTTTTTTTTAAAAAAAAAGTCCTAAAATACTAACTAATATCTCTTATACTTAATATATGATTCACTTAATTAATTTGAAAAGATTAAAAAAAATACTAAATTACTTTAAAGTATATATATATTTATTGTATTTCTCCAAACTATTTGACACACTCTTAAATCGACATATGATCTAATGATACACATATGTGTTTTAGAGAAATCATGTAATTTAGTAGTATCTTTAATCTTTCAGATTAGCTAATTGGGTTTTGTATTAAATATTAGAGGTTGTATTGGATAGCTGATAAAAATAGGATGGCCTCCCACTTAGAAAAGAGCATTTATATTATTACCTGTGATCCTAATTATAAGATTTTATTTATAATTTACAAACGAGATTGTATAATAGGAGGAAATACTATGCTATAAGATCATTTATTCAGTGGCTCCCAGGAAGGGAATTGGAGCGACTTCATGAACCTTGGCGCCAGGAAGAATGAAAATAATACAGCATTTTTTTTCTGTGTGACAATAATACAATAATACAGCCTTATATATATAGAGCTTTGTTCGCCCTTCTTTCAGTGGGTCCCATTGTCATCATTTTTCCCTGTGCAAATTATATGAGTAATTGAGTATATACCAATTACATCAATGGGCCCATGACATTTTTAATACTATCGTAAGATCTATTTAATTAATTTAATTAGATTAACAAACTTAAGTAAATTAGACAAGAAATATGACATGTTTTTCTTAAAACACTATAATCATCTTTCTTAATATTCTTCTTATCTCTTCAATTTGATTATGGTTGAAAGAGTATCAGTAACTGTAATTTCAAAAAAATTAATAAATAATGAGAAATAGGTTTTACATTTAGAACTAAAATCAAATGAATAATTAAGTCATATATTAAGAACCGGAAGAGTATTTTTTAAATTTATTTTTTCCATGCTTTTGTATCTCATTTTCATTTTGGGAAGTTTTTTTTTTTTTAAATTTTCTTCAATCAGAGGGTGAACCCACAAGGCAACAACAACAATTATGTAAAGGAATAAAATTGTCTTGAATGAGAAAACATATGTACTTATTTAAAAAAAATTATAAAGCAAAGTTAGACAAAAAGGAGATTTAGTTTTGCATTTACTACCATAGGTTCGGCCATGCTTCTAGTAATGTCGCTAATGTGGTTAGGTTTGTAGTGCTGGAAAGATGAATAAGAACTCAAATTCCTATCTTTATCCCCAAAAAAAAAACAGAGAACTCAAATTCCTCTTCTCCATTCAGTTCTATTTGCCTTTTGTTTCCTTCTAATATTTGACTGTTACTTTTTGGACTTCTTATATCTAATTTGATATATATATTAAATAAGGATAAAGTTAAGAAAATTATTAAATTTTAAGAAATGGTTAGTGAAATTTAAGTTAATCTATTTCCTGATCTGTGGACTCCAGCACTAATGATGTTTGAACTGCCGACAAATATCATCGTCTCTCCCATATTTGATATAAGAGGAAAAGAATATACTTTGCGAATTGAATTCAATTGTATCTGTAGTTTTAAATTTTTAGTGCTAGTTTTTATACCTTTTTTTTAAATAAAAAAAGAGGGAATTGAAGATGATATCGAAAACGTGAGTGCTTATCTTAATCTTAAGTTGAGTGAAGAAGCATTTTATGCCCAAAAAAAAAAACAACGGAAAGAAAAAGCACCGAGAAGAAAATGTTAAGCATACAGTTCAACTGGACTGTATTTTTCGTCAATTGAACACCGAGAAGAAAATCCTGAGCATGGCCTATGTAGAAGATTTTTAGTGGTCCATTCTATTCTGAACCGTGAAGCGTCACAATTTTCGAATTTATGCAGTTCTTCTACGTTATATTAACCGGAGTTAAACATAACGAAACGAGTTAATTCCTCAAAACATGACGAGCCAAAGGTTTCAACATCCGCCCAGAGAGGTATGAAAAAAACGCGGGTTAAAACTGATGTTGAGGCAACTGTATATTTCAACAACATGAGTTAATGAATTTAGAGCAAATAAAAGCACATATTAAACCAAGCATCACTTCACACGTCAAACAAGCTAGCTAGTTCAGGAATACAAATTAAACAGCAGTGCCAGTGCATATACAGATGAAGACATATATAAATGATTAAATCAGAGATTATTTGAAGCAAAGTAGGCTTAATTAATAAAATCTGCTTATTATGAAGCATCTTACAGCTTTGCATAGCAGACTCGGTCGTACGGACTCCTACAACCCGTGCTTCCGGGAGCTGGGGTTTTCCTGTCGGGGAGACACCCCGTAAAGCGTCCGTTAACTGACGGACAGTTAACTGAAGGTCCAGGGGTAAGGGTCTTGGGAGTGATTTGGAGTGAATTTGAGTCCAATATGCTCACAAATCGAGGATCCGAGTAGAAAGAGTCGGTGTCGGCCACATCGGCGACGAGGCAGCGGTGGTCGGAGTCACAGGCTGCGGTAGTTGTGGGGGCATCAGCGGTGGAGGAGACGGTGTCGTTAGCCGGAGAGGTGTTGTGGTGCCATGAAAGAGAAGCTGCCCTGCGATTCTGGGTTTGGAGAAGTATTATGAAGACAATGGAAATTAGACAGACGAAGCAAAACGATATCTTCATCATTCTGTATCAGTCCAGCTATTTTCTTTCCCCTCTTGCTAACTCGCAGATGTGCCTTTTGGGCTTAGGGTCTAACTTCATTATCTCAAGCTTTTCATATAAAAGATAACTCGAGGTTGGGTTGATGATTGTCGGTATATTAAAAAAACAAGATTTGGTTGGTTGGTTTGGGAATCCGTGAGCGAAAGTCACTTGAAAAGTCGACTGGAATACTACAAAATTGCGACAATTCTCGTGATATGAATAGGTTAAAATTTGTCTTTGGAACATGTGCATCAGGGTAACTAAAGTTACAGCTGGTGGAAATTATTTGTTCCTATGTACACTACTCATACGCTGAAGTGGGAATGAAATTGGTACGAATTAAAATATTTTTTTTAAAGGAGGACTATGAAAATAAAATGATGAAATAAAATTTATTTATTATCAACATAAAAGATTATATTATGCTCAGAGAACAACACTTTCCTTACGTCTATATATAATGTGTAGTTTGTTTTTTGCCAACGATGTGTAATCTGTTTGATTTTGGTTTTATTTCAATTTATGTGACATAATTAATCCAGATGTATGCAGCAGGAGCTGCATCATCAATTTCTAACTGTATTTCTCTTACAAATTAAAAAATTTATGAGTACATATAGTAGTACCAATAATTAAAAAAATTATAACAGCTCAATAAAAGGAAAAAATTGCAAAAACTACTCAATTAAAAATGAGGTGACATGATCTAAAATTTGCCCAGCACCATAAGCTTTTTCGAGAGTGCTAAAGTATGCATGAACCTGGGAGAATGAGGATGAAAGAAGTGGGATTTTCGGAGGAGTTCGGTCGAGAAAATGTAGAAGGTGTGCAGGAGTTACATTTAGAGACAATTCTTAACAAAATAAAAAAAATTCCTAACAACAAAAGCCACGTCACCTGCTTATGTCATATGCTAGATAGGATTGTTTTGGTCAAATTTGTGTGAGTCATCAAATTAACAATAAGACAAAACAGTTCTGTTAAAATAGATATGGGTGCACCGTTTTAAACACTTTAAGGCGAAATTGTACCACAAATAACTTCATGACATTAGGTGTCTCAGCAGAGTGCTGTGCGCACTTTAAACCCAACCAAAAATAAAATAAAATATCTTAGAAATTGTTAAATCACAAATCAGGATAGGTAAATTTCAAAATCCTAAAACATATCCTTTGTACTAATTTTAGAATTTTTAAATATTGCAAAATGACACAAATGCTCTTTACTTTTTTTTCCCTTTTCTCTCTCTTGTTTTTAAAAATGCCACATCAGTACTCCTAGCTGAAAACTAACTACTGAAGCTCCACTGGATACTTCTGTTTAAGTATTGACTACTATTATTTGACTATTGACTATATTTGTTTGTAGAGCTCTGATAACTATTTTTATTAAGCTATTGACTATTCTAGTATCGTGATTAACTGCTTTTGCTTGTCTCTAAAAATTTGATGACTATTCTTGTTTAATTATTGACTACTCCCTCTAGCCCTTATTATAAGAGATTGCTAACTCATTCATACATGCTAATAAAAACAGTTAAATGCATTAAATTTGTTATAAAATTTAATTAAGTGATTTCCAATATTACCTCATTAACTACACTAAATTTCAATATTATATTAATTTATACTCTTTCACTACCCTTATTAAATATGGGTATATATAGTTAATGTTCATTGAAATTATCATAGGACTAGAGGAGTAACATATAATGTTATTAATTTTATATTTATATATAGCCACACAACTTTGTGCATGTTAACTGTACTGAGAATCGACAGTTTACTTGCTACATTTGTTGTAGATCCGAATCATCTTCCACATTATATGCTTGATATTGTAGCGGATTTATGTACACAGGATATTTGTATACTAGAATTGTCACAGCTTTCATTCAATAACTTCCTTTAATCTACCCAAGGTTCTTGATGACCAAATTACCTTAGTACGTGATTAGGATTATGCCATTCTACAATATCAAAACATATTAGAGTAATCAAAGAAAGAAAAATTTTAAGTGTTGCCAAGCAATACTCTAGAATCAATTAGCGCAAAGATTCATATGGTTGCCACATTATCTCATCATCGGTTATTTTGTCAAGGAAACTCCTATATTAGCATAAGGATGTGGCTCTTGGACAAGGGTTTCATCTTACATTTTTTCATCTATCATTATCAACCTCAGGATGCATGCACGAGTAGATTGTTGAACTTGTACATTGTTTACACGATCGAGTAAGTGATTAAAGTGATCTTCTAACCAACTCATAAGCAGTCATTGTCCATGTATTCTATCTACAAGTGGTCTAATACCTAGAAGCCATTCACAAACATTTAACCAATTAAATACAATTTTCTCAATGATAGGTATTCCTACACATGGGTTAATGCTTAACTGTATAGCAACATTTTCTAATGTGATCGTGTACTCTCCGCGTGGAGTATGAAATGTGTGAGTCTCAGGATACCATCTCTCAACAAGGGTTGAGGCCAAACTCCAATCATAATCAAATTATTTTACTCAAGCAAACCCTAAAATCCAAACTAATCTAAGATATTAAAATATTTGATTGGGTGGCTCAGTCATTTGATTAGTATGCATGACTCATCTAGTGTGTAGGATCTGAGAAAAGTACAAAGGAAAATAAAAAGAACTTAGTATCAAAGCATAGAATTAATAAGCATTAATCAAGATCATTTACTTACATTGCTACTCCACACTTGCAGTTAAATATGTTAGGCTTATAAGTACAAAAGTAAGTCATCCTTTGGGCTAAACATGGGTCCTTGTTCCATATATTGGCACACAACTCTACACATGATAATTGAGTTAAGAATTGACAGCTCACGTGCCATATTTGTTGTACATCTGAATCATTTCCCAAATTACATGCTTGGTATTGTAGCGGATTTATACATGTATGATATCCGTATTCTAGATTTGTCACAATTTCATTGGAAAGGAGCCATAACTTTTGTCCAGTAACTTCTTTCAATCTACTCATGGGTAATATTTGGATTGACTTTCATTACTTTCACTTTATTAGACTTAAATGTTGTACCAATGAATCATTAAAAATTCATTCATTTGTAAATATACACACAAACTCTTTTCTGTAATCTATTCAGCTTTCAAAATATTTTACTGTAACTATTAATCAAGCAAAATTAAACTATAAAACTAAATTAACTCCATAATATCATTATCTTTTATTGAATGATTTTTTTCAGAAGAGAGTGGGTTGAACTAATCATTTACTAAAATTATAAAAATTAGGCTATTCTTTTATTAAGAAATTCATCTGACACTTGAAATGTTAGTTATTGCATTTTTAATCAAGGTAGTAACATGTAATATTTTTAAAAGAATTAATGATTAATGAATTATAAAAAATTTACATTATTAAATTCAATTATGTATTGATTTTTGGTTTCAAATTTTTTGTGCCAAAAATAAATAATAAATATATTTCACGCGTGTGGAGCACCTCCCATTTGAGCTTCAGGAGAAGATTATGAATCTAGGCCCTATTTAGCTATTGATAAGGTTTGAATTTGATATGCCCTTCATTTTGCAATAACGCAATATCAGACATCATCATTCACGAGCATGAAATTAAATGGAACATCTATCGTAAAAATAAATTTAGAATAAAAAATTAATATATTAAATTGATTAAACTAAAAATATTAAATTATATTTAAAATAAATGTTACATAAGAAAATTAAATTATAGTTCCGCTCTATATAAATATAGAATTAATAATATAAATTAAATATTTTAGATAAATAATTTTCTATTGATTATTTCACACATTTCATTTTATTCAAAAAAAATTATAATTAAACATTATAAAAAAAACGAACTGAAAAAAAAAATCACTTAGTTAACAGACTTTGCAGACAAAACAAGAGATACCGTACCGTGCGGCAACGAGTCCTCATAATTTTATATTTTAATATTATTATGACAACAGATAATTACTTTTAGGAGTGAGCAAAACTGAACCGTAACCGAAAACCAAAACGAACCAAATTCAATTTCGGTTTTTCGGTTCGGTTATTTCGGTTTTCGGTTATATATTCGGTTTTTATTTTTTAAACAATTCGGTTTCGGTGTTCGGTTCAGTTAGTAGAAAAAAAAAATTCGGTTATAACCGAAATAAATATATTATATATTTATATTTAATAAATATTAGTATAATAAATATATATATGTGGGTATATGTAAACTTTTTAAATATATTTATATTCAATAAATATGGTTATAATAAATATTATTATAATAAATCATATTGAATCATGAAATATTTATTAATTAATAGTTGTAATTGTGTTTTATTATTATTTTTAATTTAAAATTATTTTTCATATTTATATATTTCGATTAATCGGTTAACCGAACCGAAATTTTTGGTTAATTCGGTTTCGGTTAGTTCGGTTAATCAGTTTCGGTTCGGTTTTTAAAATTTACTCTATTCGGTTATTCAGTTAGTTCGGTTATCACCGATAACCGAACCGAAAAACCGAATACTCACCCCTAATTACTTTGGTCGCAAAGAGAACTTCTTTTCCCCGGCGGAGGAAAGAAAAGCTCCTTTGTTCCTTTATTTTGACTCTCACCGCAGTCTTCTTTTTACCAGAAAAATTGAGACCGTTTAGTTCTGGTTTTTGATTGACCATACAAAAGGCTAGACTCCAGGAAGCTGGCAACCAAACAATATTAAACAGCTTACCTACACTTTATTTTATATAAAAATTAATTATACGTCTACATTTTCACTTAAAAAAATGACTAAACATAAAATTCTTACCCATCATTTAACAAGAATACATATAAAAAATTACTCCCTCCGTTCCTTATTATAAGAGACACTTGATGCTTATGCCATGTTCCTATATATAATAGACACTTACAAGTTGTCTCTACTTTTTGTGTTGATTTACTATTTTACCCATATTTATTATCTCCAACTCACACTCTCTCTCCCTCCCACTTCTCTTTCTTTAATAATTTAATTGTTCTCTCTCATGCTCTCTCTCCTTATTAATGAGGGCATTTTTGGAAAAAATTATACTTTTTACATTAATTGTTCTTAACTAACTTTAACTGTTTTTTGATCAACGTACTTCGGTTATTTGTCTCTTATAATAAGGAACGGAGGGAGTATAAAAGAAATTAATCAAAAGAATTTACCCTAGTCTCAGATGAAAAATTAAGCTCCAAGTTGAAACAAAATATATATATATATATACACACACACGGGTTTGCAACTGAAAGGCAGCACACACCATCATTTCCGTTTCACTGAATGAAACAGTGGAAGGAGGAAGAAGAAGGGAAGGAGGTGAAGAAATAAAGAGAGGGGCAAATTTGAGTGAGAAAAAAACATAAGCATTGCATGCGTTATATACCCAAGAATGGAAAATATATATATACATATATACCGTACATTCACACGCCAAAAAGATGTGACCAGGTCTAGGCGTGAGCTGAGAAGGCTAGCCTCTCATCCTGTGCTTATGGGAATGCCCGGGGAAGGAAAACATAGCATGTGGGAATGGGCAGCTTTTCGTGTTTGGAAAGCAGCATGTGGCCATGTGGTGGTCGGAAAATGATACCCGGAAAACGGTGAAGAAGATAGAAGACAAAATATAGAAGAAAAAAATTATAATAAAGTCTTAAAAAAATCATATTCATTTTAGTCAGTTATAAATTAAATTTACTTATTTAATCATGATTTAAACAATTTTTTCATTTACAAACTAAATTTTACAAAAATCAATTCAAACATAAATCATATTACTCAATCTAACTTTTATCCAATCTGATTTTTAAAAAAAAAATTTAAATTAAAAATAAGTTATTGTTTTTTACTGTTAATCCAAAGGGGCCTTTATTGTCTTGGAATTTATTATTATAAATTGGATCTTTTAACAATTATGTTTCTGACTTGGGTCCCTCCAAAATTGTTTACGGTAGGAATGAGCTCACGGTTTTCAAATATAGCATTTCATGTAAATTTTTTTTACTGTTTATTATATATGGGTAAAAAAGCTGCGGTGGCACAATCACCAAGGGTGAGATAAATAAAAAGAGAATTACAATAAAATATAAAGAAATAATTATAAAATAAGTTAAAAATTATTATTAATTATTTTAAAACTTGTCATTATATACTACAAACTCTTTAAATTGTTATTAGCAGTTATTGATACATATATATATATTGAGATTTAATTGTAACAAATGGACAATCAATTCATGAGAGACGGAGACTCTTGCCTGCACCCTCAGTCCCCACTCCTTGGATTCCATTTCTTTGGCCAACCTCACTCATTGGCTTCCGCAATGAGATGGGCACATAAATTTCCACGTGGGTCCCATCAAATTAACGCCCACCTCACTTTATTTTACATTATATTAATCGGAGATTAAGAACCGAGGCATATTCTTAAAAATAATTTTAAAATATATAAAATAAATACGTGGAAGAAATTTTGTTTAGACTCACTTAAAAAGCACATTTTGAAGTGTTTTGTGGGTTTCCCAACCTCCCTTTAGTAGGATAAAAAAACATTAAATAAACAAAATTCTGTAGTATTGAATATGGTTCAATCTCAGGGCACAAGATATTATAATGGGAGGATTATGAACTTAGCATTTAGGGTTTACGTGACAAAACAATATGCGGGGAGAATTAGTTAAGTCAGAATCAATAATTTGAATTTAATATGATAATACCAATTAATTATATCGATTATGTTTGTCTATATACATAACAAAGATAAGAGCATGTCCTGCTAAACAGGCTTATCATTGTCTGTAGACCAAAATATCATAAAGGGAAAATGGCAAAGAAAGACAGCCGAAAGAGAAAAATTGTAAATAAGAACTCATAATAATATTAGTATGAGTTTTGACAATAATTTTTATAAATTGGTCTTTATGTGTAATTTTGTTATTTCAGTGGTCTTTTTTTGTCATTTTTCCTATCATAAAACTCAGCGGGGGAGTATAAACAAAATGAAATGTAGCCAAGCATTGCCTCTTTGCGGAAAACAGAATGAGTTTTATAGAATCCTAAACTCAAATGGCATTATTCAAAGTAATCATGAGATTTATTAGAGTTTGAATTTATGTGATGGTGGTCAAAAAGGCATGTTTTACAGGCGGGTTGGCTAAAAGTTAACTTTAACCTGCCAAAGACTATTTACATTTTTTTTTAGTATATATTTAAAAAATTTTATACAGTATGCAAAAGATATAATAAAACTTTTATTTTTTAATCAAATACTTGATTAAAAGCACCAAACAAATGATATAAGTATTTATTTTATATTTTCTTACATGGGATATACTTCCCTGAACTTATTTATAAAACAAAAAAAAAGAAATTTTTTAATTATATTTACAGAATATAGAATTAAAGTTTTGATATGAATGTACAGTTTTACTCCTTGTTCATATTGTATTAACTTTGTTCTTATAGATATAATGTATATTAAATAGGGATAGAGTTAAAAAAAATTATTACATTTAAAATGAGAATTAACAAATTTTAAATTTTTTTCTTAATATGTGTAAAACATGTTGAAATTGATATATAACATATAATCATAACAAGGAGTTATAAATGTTATGAATATAATATCTTTATGGATGTCCATGTATCTATCATTATCTCCCTTATCTCCCAATATCTTCAGTAACTCCCATTATCCCCATTATCTGCAATTATCTTTATATCTGTAGATTCTATCAAAGATGTAAAGCCGTGCCTATAAATAGAGGCCATGTACAATGTATTCAGTACCCTATTGAATAGAAAGAGAAATACTCTCTCTTATTGATATTCTTTCTTCTTTGTTCTTCTTCTTTATTTACAACACGTTATCAGCACGAGGGCTCTAACAAAGGTATAATATTCCGATCTTATTATTATACATTATGTTTCATGATTTATTGTCTATCCTCTATACTTTTCTATACTCTTCTACACTATGAGTATTTTTCTTTTTCTCCATTCTTTTCCTAAATGGCTTGAAGCTATATGGTTTAAAGTTTTCTACTTTATGGCCAGAAGCCATAAAACTTTATTATTCTTTCTTATGGCCAGAAGCCATAAAATTTTGTTTTGCTTCTTATGGCCAGAAGCCATAAAACTTTATTATTCTTTCTTATGGCCAGAAGCCATAAAATTTTGTTTTGCTTCTTATGGCCAGAAGCCATAAAACTTTGTTTTCTACTTTATGGCCAGAAGCCATAAAACTTTATTATCTTTTCTTATGACCAGAAGCCATAAAACTTTATTATCCTTTCTTATGGCTAGAAGCCATAAAACTTTGTTATTCTTTCTTATGGCCAGAAGTCATAAAAACTTTATTTTATACTTTATGGTCAGAAGCTATAAAACTTTGTTTTCTTCCTTATGGCCAGAAGCCATAATTTTAATTTTCTAACATATGGCTAGAAGCCATATAATTTTTAACTCATGACCAGAAGTCATTCAAATTTTCTCTTCATTTGTTTTCTTTTGGTAATTTATAATTTTTCTTTTCTTTTATTTTCTTCTCATTAACGAAGAGCAATGTAATTTCCATACATGACAATTTTTTTTAATATTATATTCTTTTGTGGTAGTGCCATCATGTCAAACCTTACAAAACTTGAGTTTGTGGCTCTTGACATTACTGGGAAGAATTACTTATCTTGGGTACTAGATGCGGAAATTCACCTAAATGCCAATGGTCTGGGAGACACAATTAAGGCAGAAAATAAGGCATCTAGTCAAGAAAAGGCTAAAGTTATGATCTTTTTACGCCATCATTTACATGAAGGACTAAAAATGGAATATTTGACCATTAAAGACCCACTCGTACTTTGGAACAATTTGAAAGAAAGGTATGACCACCAAAAACTGTCATTCTCCCAAAAGCTCGTTATGAATGGATGCACTTGCGTCTACAAGATTTTAAATCTGTTAGTGAGTATAATTCTGCGATATTTAGAATCAGTTCTCAACTGAAATTATGTGGAGAAAAAGTCACTGATGAAGACATGTTGGAGAAAACATTCTCCACATTTCATGCATCCAATGTGCTCCTGCAGCAGCAATACCGTGAAAAAGGCTTCAAAAAGTATTCTGAACTTATTTCTTGCCTTCTTGTAGCTGAGCAAAATAATGAGCTTCTAATGAAAAATCATGAATCCCGTCCAACCGGCTCCACTCCATTCCCCGAAGCGAATGTAGTAGTAAATGGACCAACACGTGGTCGTGGACGAGGACATGGACGTGCACGAGGCCGTCGCATTGACCGTGGACGTGGTCGTGGTCATAATCGAGGTGGTTCAAATTCCTATTCAAAGAGGACAAAGAATGATGAGAATCGCAAGAGAAAAACTAGTGGAAGTAATAACCACTCTGAAGACTCGTGTTATCGTTGTGGTGGGAATGGTCATTGGTCACGTACTTGTCGTACACCGAAACATTTGGTTGACCTTTATCAAGAATCGCTTAAAAATAAAAGTAAAGGCAACGGCAAAATGCCAAGGGTAGAAACCAATTTTGTTGATGAAGAGGGCGATTCTGATTATGGCAACATGGATGTCACTCATTTGGATATTGCTGATTTCTTTGCTGATCCTAATGGAAAGATTGATCACCTGATTGGTGATGGGAATGTTCAACAATAAATTGTTTTAGTGAAGTTAAATTTCTATGATTTTTTTTTCCTTCTTTTTCATCTTCTTTTATAAAGTTTCTACTTTCAATGTTGTTATCTTTCCAAATTAATAAAATTACGAGTATTTTCCTTTTATTAATTTTGTTTCTTCCTCCCTCTCTTGACTATGTTCCTTGTAACGAAGAATGGCTCCTATTGACGTCAATCATGAAGATTTATGTCTTGTTGACAGTGCAACAACTCATACAATACTTAGAAATAAAAAGTATTTCTCTTCTTTGGTAATGCAAGAAGCCAACGTTCAGACTATATCTGGAAGTGCAAAACTGATTGAAGGCTCCGGAAGAGCCAATATATTGTTACCTGGAGGAACAATATTATACATTGATAGTGCATTTTACTCAACTAAGTCTAAAAGAAATTTGTTGAGTTTTAAGGATATCCGCAAGAATGGATACCATATCGAAACAACAATTGAGGAAAATCAAGAATATCTTGCTATTACAAAGTCAACCTCAGGTAAAAAATGCACACTAGAAAGATTGCCTGCATTTTCTTCTGGCTTGTACTATACAATTATTAGTACAATTGAAGTACACATCATTATAAACCAGAAGTTTGTAAATGATAACAAATTTAATGTTTGGCATGACCGGTTAGGCCATCCCGGGACAATTATGATGCGAAAAATAATTGAGAATTCATGTGGACATTCATTGAAAAGTCAACAAATACCACAATCCAATGTTTTCTCATGTAATGCATGTTCCAAGGGAAAGTTAATTGTTCGGCCATCACCAGGAAAACTAAAAAGTGAGCCTCTCACTTTTCTAGAACGCATACAGGGAGATATTTGTGGACCGATACATCCAGCATGCGGACCATTTAGATATTTTATGGTTCTAATTGATGCATCAACAAGATGGTCGCATGTCTGTTTATTATCTTCGCGTAACCTGGCGTTCGCAAGATTATTGGCTCAATTAATTAGATTAAGAGCACATTTCCCTGATTTTCCTATCAAGAAAATACGTCTTGATAATGCTGGTGAATTTACTTCACAAGCTTTCAATGATTATTGTATGTCTCTTGGGATTGATGTTGAACATCCTGTGGCTCATGTGCACACACAAAATGGACTTGCAGAATCATTAATCAAACGTTTACAATTAATTGCAAGACCATTACTTATGAGATCAAATCTCCCAATTTCTGCTTGGGGACATGCAATTTTGCATGCAGCAGTGTTAATTCGCATCAGGCCAACAAGTTATCTCAAGTCCTCCCCTTTACAAGTGGTTTTTGGTCATGAACCAAATATTTCCCATCTAAGAACCTTTGGATGTGCTGTACATGTTCCAATTGCTCCCCCACAACGTACCAAGATGGGGCCTCAAAGAAGGATGGGAATATATATTGGATATGAATCTCCCACTATAATAAAATATCTAGAACCCTCAACAGGAGATTTGTTCACAGCTCGATTTGCCGATTGTCATTTTGATGAGTCAGTTTTTCCAACAATGAGGGGAGAAAATAAGAAGTTGGAAAAGGACATTAGCTGGAAAGAATTATCACTGTCTCATCTTGATCCTCGCACAAAAGAATGTGAACTGGAAGTTCAAAAGATAGTCAATTTACAAAGTTTAGCAAATCAATTACCAGATGCATTTACTGACCCGAAGAGAGTAACAAAATCACATATTCCAGCTGTTAATGCTCCTATTAAAATTGATGTCCCTGATGGACAACCAATTGTGAATGATTCTAAAGCACGCATGAAGCGTGGCAGGCCCATCGGCTCCAAAGATAAAAATCCTCGAAAGAAAAAAGGAGTTAAAAGTATAGATGGCCTAGTCGAGAATAATTTAGAAAAGTTAGCAACTCCAGAAGAGTCATCAGACAACGCTAACGTCCCAATTCTCAGTGAAAGTCAGGTACCTGAAATATGTGAAAATGATGAGATCTCAATTAATTATGTTATGAATGGGATACGATGGGACCGAAGTGAAGTCGACGTTGATGATATTTTCTCTTATAATGTAGCGCTCGATGTGATGAATGATAATGAGGATCATGAGCCAAAGTCAATTAGTGAATGTAAACAAAGAAAGGATTGGCCAAAATGGAAAAATGCAATTGAGGCAGAATTAAAATCGCTAGAACAGCGAAAAGTTTTTGGACCAGTAGTCCTTACACCTGAAGATGTAAAACCGGTTGGATATAAATGGGTTTTTGTGCGAAAGAGAAATGAAAAGGGTGAAATCATAAGATACAAAGCACGACTCGTTGCTCAAGGATTTACACAAAGACCTGGTATCGATTTTGAAGAAACTTATTCACCAGTAGTGGATACAACTACTTTTCGATACTTGATTAGCCTCGCAGTAAATAAAGGGCTCAATTTACATCTAATGGATGTTGTTACAGCCTATCTGTATGGCTCACTTGACAATGACATTTATATGAGACTCCCTGAAGGGCTGAAATTGCCAGAAGCACACAATTCAAACTCTCGAGAACGATACTCAATTAAGTTAAACAAATCCCTATATGGATTAAAGCAATCAGGGCGAATGTGGTATAACAGGCTTAGTGAGTATCTATTGAGGGAAGGATATAAAAATGATGCAATATGCCCATGTATTTTTATGAAAAGATCAGGAAATGAGTTTGTTATAATCGCTGTGTATGTTGATGATATAAATATTATTGGAACTCCTGAAGAGCTTGAAAAGGCAGTGAATTGCCTAAAGAAAGAATTTGAAATAAAGGATCTAGGAAGAACAAAATTTTGTCTTGGATTACAAATTGAGTATTTGAAAAATGGAATTTTTGTATATCAAGAAACTTATACAAAAAGGATCCTAGAACGTTTTTATATGGATAAATCACATCCATTATGTACTCCAATGGTTGTAAGATCTTTGGAGGTGGATAAGGACCCTTTTAGACCTCGAGAAATCGGGGAAAAAGGTGATGAAGAGCTACTTGGTCCAGAAGTACCATATCTTAGTGCAATTGGAGCACTAATGTATCTTGCTAATCATACACGACCTGATATATCATTTGCAGTCAACTTACTAGCAAGATATAGTTCTTCACCAACACGAAGGCATTGGAATGGAGTTAAACATATCCTTCGTTATCTTAAGGGTACAATGGATATGGGATTATTTTATTCGAATGCATCCAAGACCGATCTTGTTGGCTATGCAGATG